CCTTCTAATGCAGGAGATTTTGAGAGCTTACGTTTCGTCTTACGCATACCACGAATTACTTGGTTGAGAGTAGCATAATATACTGAATGTGGCTGCTTAGTACAACGAAAAGTAAGAGGTGAAATGGACTGAAAGGCCTTTCTGACTAATATACTAAACATCATTTACTTTGGGTTTACTAAAATACAGCACTTAAAATTTTTGATAATCAAGATGTGATTACGTAATATGTTAAAAATTTTTAGATAAGATCCTAGTGTAAGATTCCTACTAAACATTGAACAATGATATCTGCTTTACTTTGGATTCGTAAAGGTGCAGCTGCTGAGCAACCTGAGAAATATGAACTAGATGATAAAGAATATGAACGAATCAGTCAATTAACTGCAACACAACTAGAAAACTCAAAAAGCGAATTAGAAAAGTAATACTCTATTCAACCTATTCAACGACGTTATTAACAAACATAATAGCATTTACTAATTTTTTTTTTTTTTTTTAAAAAGTCATGATGTCAAAATAGAAAGGTAATACTCTATTCGACGATGTATTAACAAAAATATAGCACTTAATTTTGTTTTTTTTTTAAAAAAAAAGTAATGACGTAAAAATAGAAAGGTATGCCCAATTCAACGACGTTATCGACAAAAATGTAGCATATACTAAATCTGGGGGTTTTTTTTTATTCTTATTTTTATTTTAAAAAGTCATGATGTCAACATGACTGATGTTAATGATGATTCGGAGCTATTAGAATACAATTTAGAACAATACGATGAGGAGGATGAGGAAGAAGGACAACGTTTGTGCGCTTTTATTAAATTTGCTGCGCATTTACTCTTGCAGCAAATTAAAGTATCGATTGATTATTAAATTTTAATTAGCCATGTCGATATTCGGAAATATAAAGGGATTGGCGTACTACACGTCAAATGAAGAAGACCCATATATTACCCTCAATGACGAGGTAATTCGGTAATTCATAAAAGGATTAGATTATAACAGGATTGTAATTGTTCATTTTCTTCATGAATCATATTCTAACGTCTCTGAATGTATTTAAAAAGGATGATGAAACTGATGATGTTCGAATTTTGGCCACAGACAGTGTTTTAGTAGCAGCAAAGACCGAAGATGAGGTTTCACAACTAGAAATATATGTCTATGAAGAATCTGAGGATAATCTCTATGTGCATAATGACATTATGTTGCCATCTTTTCCTCTCTGTTTGGAATGGTTGGATTTTCGATTAGGTAGAAAAAAAGGGTTGGATGGCAGCGGCAATTATGTTGCAATAGGGACATTCGAGCCTGAAATCGAGATTTGGGATTTGGACGTATCGGATTCAATGTATCCTGACGCAATATTAGGCAGACCAAATAAAGAACTTAAAAAGAAAAAGAAGA